CCATGAACCTTTGGAAGTGGATCACCAGGTTTGCCTTTCGAGGTGCTTCTGGGTGAGTTCACACCACCAACTTTTCAACTAGTAGTTGAGCATTTACCTGTTCATGCTACCCAGGGACCCTTGTCAAGAGTAGGGATGTCTATCTAATGCCCCATGGAATCCCTGGCAGAACACTTTGCACATAAACATGTTGTTTGCCCTTGAGTTGGACCTGACTCATAGCGACCCCTCCTTGGGTTTCTGAGGCCATATCGCTATGGAAGTAGATTGTCCAACCTTCCTCTGGTTAGCACTCAAGTGCCTTAGGCATTATGCTTCCAGAGCACATAAACATACATGTGTTTAATGCATTTGGTGGATAAAACTGTTTTAAAGCATTGCTCATGGCATGTCTGTCGTACATAAGCTGACAGTACCAGCAGTTCTGGTTACACCAGCCTGGGAGTGCATGTGTATTTCTGAATGCTGAATCCTGAGAAAACAACATTAACCATCAACTTCCACAGAGACCCACTTCTCAGTACTTCTCAGGTTATAAATGTTGTCCTTAATACACCAGCTCCATCAGTGAAGAGAAATCAGGCAGTTGTGACACTACGTTATAAACTGATTTATTGAGTTCTGCCTTTCCCTGCATAATGACTAAGTGCCTCACAAATGCTTTTCTCTAAAACTGTTTGCAGAGTGATAAAACATTAGCTGCAGATTTAATGTTACCATGTTTGTAATTTGCATGTGAATGAAGAGTTAACATAATGTAGAAATGTGAAATTACACTGGTTGACTACGAGCAGCAGTCCCGCTAAAATCCATTTCTCTATCTTCATTATTTCACCTCTTGGCTCATTGTGCTCGCAGCTTTCTCCCATTACTCAAAAAACTGTTTAATACGTCCCCAAGGATGCAGGAGCACAAGGCTTCTGGAAAAGTGTTAAGGTAGTTTACATAATGGGACCAACGAAGCCAGTATGTTCTCCATTGTAAAAATGCCAGTATTCTTTTGCTTTGTTAATTGACCCCATAGCTTGAGGAGGAAGAGCATGAGTTTGGATGGGAAACAGAATGAGAAAGCAAATTATCAGGGGAGTGACTTGCAAGTTTCTCTCAGTTTAAGATGTGCTTATAAGAACAGAGAATATGGGAGATTTTTAATGACATGGAACACACAGAGGGAACTATCATGGGAAAATGAAATGACAGAATAATTATTCTTTTATATTCAGAGAACATGGGGAGGAGAAAGTCAAACGTCTTTTCTAATACAAAATTAGGAAAAAATAAATCAAATTACTATGGTAAATTGTAAGAGACAAATTGCTTTTCCAAGATTTATTTGTGAGATGACAACTGCAGTTCCATTTAATATGCTTGTCATGACTTTTCTTCTGGTAGGAAGATGAGCCAGGAAATGGTCAACTAGCCAACATTGCTAGGTGGCCTTACCAATTGTGGAGTTAGTGGGAATGCTCCGAGTATCACTATGAGCCTCTGGGTAACAATACATCCGTCTTCTCCATGCCTTACTGCCTGCATCTAAAGACACTGCCCAAAATCTAAAGATTACCCACATCCGAAGCCAGGCCTTAACTTCGTTCAAAGGAGTGAAATAAAAATAACCATGCATTCATTTACCCTGAGTGTTGTAGTCATTCAACAATAGACTAGAGGTACAAAGTACATTTTAATCATACGGGCAAGAGGATAAAATGTAATTTAGGGATAAAAACAAATATTTTATAATTTGGCAAGTGTTCCTTGTGCTAAGTGACACTAAGTAGCTGTGTCATGAAAAGAAGTGGCACAAAACCATTGCAGGCAATTCAGAACTCCTTTTCAGCCTCAGCACATACATTTTATAATTATGCCTCATTTAATCCCCACCTTGATTCAAAGTCCTTTCAGAACTGGTCAGTGGGGAAATCAATTTCTAGAATTAGGCCTCCAGTTATTAACCATCGGGCAGATTTTCACACGTATGAGATGGGTAATACACTGCTCTGCTTGTCCCTTACTAGATTCTTCCTAATTATATAATGACCAGTTTTTAAAATATTTTCACCACATAAATCTCTTCTTTCAAAAAGAACTGCTAATCTTGTTTGATTTAATGATGAAGACAAAGTCCAGAACAAACCCTAGGGAAGAAAATGAAGGAGGAAAAACAAGACAGTGATTGGTAAGCCATCATTTATCACTGAGGGAAAATATTTTTTTTAAGTTTAAACCAAAGCAAACAAACAAAAAGCACTGGACAATATATAGTGATAATAAAAGTTTATTGTGAACCAGTAAGTCAAACCCTTTATAGAACAAAGAAACACTAAGCATCCTAGTCCTTCCCAGTAAGTAACAATATAATACTGGGCTGGGTTCCTTGAATATCCTAAACAAATTTGCTTCTCTGTTGGAAAGAACCATTCTTCTGTGGTTCAACAGCACTGAAAATACAGAAATGGGGTGCCAAGCTCTTGAGGGGAAATAGAAATGGAACCAGATCCAGTATGAGTAATAAAAATACTACAGGTGGGTTCTAGGAATCAGAGGAATGGATGAATAAAGTTCACTCTTCACATGTTGTATTTCAAAATCAGCTAGTGGAAGGCAGGCCTTGTAAGATCAGACACAAATTAACCTGAGGATGTAGAAGTACAGTATGCCTCTCAATCCAGTTATTCAGGGAAGTGGTAATAAGGAAAGAAAATGGCTTTTCATCCACCTTTACCTAAAATTCTACCTACCAAGAAGGCTTTTTATGTCAAATAACTAAGACTTGACATCAAAGCTTTAAAAAGCTTAAAAAAGAACAAATGACACTGAGGATTAAGATAACTCAGGTACAGTAAGCCAATGGGATCTATGCAAGTGGTCAAGATAATTCACTTTCACATGATGAAAAGTTAACTACCACAATTTCTCATCACTTCAGGAATGGCAACATATGACAGAATAAATGAACATTGCTTGACAACCTTTTCCACCTAGTCTGTGCACACAGATAAGACATGCTATTCAGTGTTTGGGGAAGCAACTTTTTTTTTATCAAAAGGAAAAATGTTTGAAAGAAAAATGCAACTCACAAATAGAACTGAAACAAGGATGCACCTTCCTTTTGAAACTAAGAAAGCAGGCATAAAAATACTTTCAGTCACTACCTTGACATCAGGGTACTGGGCTTAGTTTTATAGCCTTCATGCCTGAGTTGAAAATCTTATTAAAATTCCTTTGTGCCTAAGCATACATGAAACAAATGAGGGCACAAATGTAAAACCTGCCAGCTTAATAGCAGTCTTTAAAAACATAAAAAAAGAACCTGAATTTTGCTTGTATCTATGAATTCATTAATGAATGACAATGGCTAAATTGTAGTCTACATATTAACAAGAATCTTACTCATTCACATAACTTCTCCCTGCCATAAAGTCTCCCTGGAGTTAAACTGGTTGAGATGCTTGGAGAAACACTGCAGTCGAGTCTCCTCTGGCTAGGAGAAAAATGTGGTTTCTTTTTCCCTTGGTTAGTGACTATAGTAGCCGAAAGTGCAGCAACAGTACCGGACGGCATTTAACTACACCAAATGGGTTTTATTTTTTCAAGTTGGACACCCAGCCAAAGGGAATTTAGTTTTGCTGAGCATCACTTTTACTTATTACTGTGAATGCTCACACCGTTGATCTGAAACTTTCACGAGAAAGGCAGAGTGTGCATATAGCTTGCCATAGCCGTTCAGAACTCCAAGAGGCTCAAGGTGTCCTTCAACCTGCACGAAGTCCCAGAAGGAAAACGCTACTCTGAGGACTTGAGCAGGGGGCTGACTGTCAGATCCTACTGTCAGGAGCCTTTAATGGATCACACAACTTCAATAATATTAGCTGTTCTAGTACTAAATGGAAAATAATGGAGGGCTGTTACCTGCAGGAACCAGCACCAACAGTGGGGATTTGGTTCAAAGTTCTCATAAAAACAGCCTGTTTTTGTGACCAAATGAGCTGTGAAAATAGGCACATTTAAAATTGTTACACCCTGTTTTTTTTAAAGCCACAAAATGTACTCAAACCAGTCAAAACCAAAGAAGGGATGAAACAGGACTAGGAAAGGCAGCAGTGGGAAGAGGGGCAGGTGACTAAATACATTTGTACAGAATTTGAAGCACCAAGGTCTCCATCCACCATATAAACTGCAGATTCTGAGATCTCAGAAACTGATGAACTGTTTGCATACTAAAGATCTATTTGTTTTAAACACATCACTAGGCAATACCTTCTAAAATAAATAACATTTCTATCAAAAGCTTAGTATCCTTGTTCAAGTTATTGGTGACACAGCATTTCCCCCTGATTTTTTTGTTTTAAACAAAAGTCGACTGCCATACTCATTTAGTGAAAAGACCAACACTGAGATAAATTCATAGGAAAGAAAATATCTTATGGCTTTTAGCTAACAGCCAGCTCTAAAGCACAGTCACTGCAGAGTAAGCAAAAGCACAAGTCAAGGTTTAGGTCAGTTGGATGGGTGGACTCAAATCCTAGGTTAGAAAACATTAAGACATAAAATTTGCTCTCTGATCTCATATGAATACCAAGAACAAACAAATTGAAATAAATACTTCCAAAGTGCACTAGATTATTTTAGAGAAAACATTAATCTGTTATAGGTAGCTTACTGTGAACCAATCACCACATTTTAGAAGTTTTTGATACAAATGCTGGCTTATGGAGCCAGGATGCTTTACTGACCACCAACAAAAAGGGGCACGTTGCAAAGTATGTTTCTCTCTAGTCTAAACAGTCACATGAATTGAGAAATGGTAGTTAGGTCCCCAGCCCAGTCTGCAATGTGTGCAGTTTTTCTCCTGGAAGCAGAGATATATTTTTGTCCCCTTTCATAATCAACCACTTAGAGAAAAGCAGTCTTACAGCTGCCTGACCTCCTGTTGGGAAGAAAACAATTATTAAAGACAGAAGGTGGAGGACATATTCAGTAAGGCTCATTTATTTAACTACATTTAGTTTCTTTTAAAAGTTCTCAGAATAGTAACAGACTGTCATAATGATAAGCTTAAATAAGATTAAGAATTCTTCCAAGGTCTGACAGATATGTACACACCTGCCCTCAGAATTCTGTACATATCACCTACTCTCCCTTTAGGAATAAAGCAACTAGAGTTAAAATATTACCTTGGGTCCTTTTAAATAAAAAGGAAAAGGTAAGGAAAAGGAACTGAACCAAAGGGAAATTTAGAAAAAAAATCAACTCAACCAAGTACACAGTTTTGACTCCATGTTTCACTGAAAGGCAATGGAAGCACTTAGCCCAGATTTGAATATACGGAGTGGGTCATGCGGTGAATTGCAGGGTGCATGCTTTCCTTTTATAATTCAAAGGCAGGGAACCTGGCTTTCACTGGGACAAGCAGGTCAGCCAGGAAGTAGATTGTTCCAGCCATTCCTGAAGAAAGGGAAAGAGGCAAAGTTATTATACCAAATAGGAGGGCCCCATTTTTTTCCCCCGTATCAACAATATTATATTAATGGCAATAATGAAAATGAAGTAGGTGTCTGTCCGTATTTATATACGGCTGCAGTTCAACATTAGAATAAATCATTATTGAGGTGCCCAGCTGCTTGAAACAGGCGGGAGAGAGCAGGCAGAGTGGAACCAGGTAAGTTAAAGTCACAGCCCTGCCATTACCATATGTTAGCATCTTTGCCAAGGACCACTTACCTCTCACCTTCAGTCTCTTCCTTTGAGACATTAGGGTAACAATGCCTGTATGTTTTGGCTGAGATGATTAACAACAGCATCAGTAAAATGCTCCACAAGTGCTTGGGCCCATAAATCGTAGTCACCATTATGACTACTAGTTACGTTATGGTAGTACAGATGCTAATTAATTTTTAATATTGACTTATTAAGAAATAAAGAAGCTGCTTAAGAAATGGCTATAAAACTAATTTGTTGATAATATTAGAATTCAAGTACAGTAAGTACCAAGTAGAGAAGTGGAGAGTAGTATTAGCAGGCAAACAAACACCGTGTAAAGAATACCTTCAAAGAGGGAGAATGGGGTGTCTGGGGTTCTGCATCCGTGCTCTCCATAATCTAAGCACCAGTCAGCAAACTGAAAAGGAGGCCAAGTTAAATTACTCATTTTTCTAGATACTGAAAAGTTCATAGAGACTGTCCCTAACAATTATTCTGAAAAGCTAAAAACTATCTTCAAGTCAGAGAGAAAGGGTCAATGCAGAAAAGTGTATGGTGTGAAGCAGAACACGCAACACAGGAGGCATTTAGTGAGCTCCCGGGGCCACCTGTCTCCAAGGTCGTGGAAGAGAAAGAAACATACCATCCTACATCTGCCCCAGCCCCCCATCAGTGCTGCTGGCAGAATCATGCCTTTTAAAAATAAAAAGCTAATTCAATAATGGCTTTTGAAGGTTTTTCTTATGTAATGGTTTATCTATATAGACTCATGGTTTAAAAATAAATGAATTAGGCCAGACTGAGTGACGCTCTTTTTCACAAGTTGCTAGGAAGAGATGATTTCTTGCTGACAGCTCTGGAGCCTACCTTACAGGCCCTATACAGGTACTTCACATCCTGGGTGAGGTTGTATAACGTCAGGAAGGCATAGGCATTGCCCGCAGCACCATGGCACAGTCCATATCCTTTCTTCAGCAGCCCATATTGCCAGATCACATCGGCACACTTGTAGGCGTCACTTAGATATTGTTCCTCTCTGAACACCTGCAGAGGTAAGGGACGTTGTTTTATTACGGTGGACAGAAAAGAAAGTTCCATTGAGATTTCTTCCTGAAAGGTGAGGAGGAAAAAGGAGGGTAAGGAAGGAGTGGATACAGGAAGGTGGCTTGGTAAGAGTGTAAAGAATTTAGTGACAGAGAAACGTATCATATTTGTGGGATGAAATACTAAATTCACTGGCTTTTTTTTTTCTTTTCTTTTTTTTAAATAATTGGACATGGCCTTGTCTGCATAAAAAGCTCTGGTGGCATAGTGCTTAAGGCATATGACTGCTAACCAGAAGGTTGGTGGTTCAAACCCACCAGCCACTCAGTGGAAAGAAGACTAGGCAATCTACTTCTGTAAAGATTTACCCTGTTGGAAACCCAGTGGGGGTCGCTATGAGTCGGAATCGACTCGATGGCAGTGAATTTGGTTTGGTTTTGGTTTTGTCTGTATAGTCTAAATTTTGCACGTGTGTGTGTTTGCGTATGTGGGTGTTATTGACAAAAGAGCATTATTTAACTAGCAACTTCTTGTTAACACTGGTCACTGTCCAAAGAACACGTTATCTTCTTTGGTAACAATACCTTCACTAGGAATTTTCTTTACTGGAGAAGAAACTGTCATGTGTTTATGTGCAAACTGACTGTAAAACACTAAACTTTGTCAGAAAAACAGAGAAACACCTTTTCAGTCTTTTGCTTACTCCTAAATCTTGATCAAAAACTTGAGAGATAGTCCCTTAAGTAGACATTTTAATACCTATTAATACTAAGTATCCTTAAAAGTAGAATAAGGCAGTTTTACTTTTTATTATACCACCTGTTAGAATTAATGAGGTTGACAGTATGATCAAATAGCCACTTCCTTAGTTTTTAAGTGTTTCCATTATATCCAACTTTCTGAAATGTAGAGTTTGATATACTAACAGTTTATTTAGGCTACTGGATGCGAGTGTCTATTTATAATCTGTAGATTTGGCATTTATGGCACCAAAAAGCTTCATTGATTTCTATTTTTAATTTTTAAGCTTTTAGCATATTTAAAAATGAATCTTGGCTCTGCCACTGATGTTGTAACTTTGGCTACTGCAGCTGTCAATGAAGCCATTTTCTCTTCTTTGAAATAATGTCTACTTATGGAATCGATGAATTCTGTAAAACTGAATTATAATCCAACTTACCAAAGCGTTCTTAGGGCTAACAAGTGATTTATTTATTGCTCCTTTAAGAATTACATGTAAGGAGAGTTCCGGCAAGATGGCGGACTAGGCAGAAGAACTGCACAGACCCTCTTCAACAAGACTAGGGAAACCAATTAACACAGACACAGAAGATAATCTTGGACCCCTGAGCTTTGAAGGGAAGGATATAGAAGTAGACTAAACCCCAACTAGCAGAAGAATTTGCGTGAAAATACCAAAAAGGGAGACATACGGAGCTGCGGTCAGGCAGGGACCTGAACGCCCCTGACGGCACAGACGGCTTGGACATTCCCGAGTGGTGGTAGGACCTAAAAATTAACCTAAAAATCACCCTGCTAGCCAGGGACT